CGCCGTCTGTGTCAAGAATATTAGAGACAAAATTTAAATCTTAGTAATGGAAATAGAAAAACACCACAAATTGTGAGATGGAAATAAAGTATTAAAAACTATTTTGAACAATATATTTATTGCATTTGCACAAAATATACCTTACATAATTTGAAATATTTAATAAACTATGGATAAAATAATAAAAAATTATAGTTATTTATTTAAAACTAGTAAAGTTTATTTAATGACTAAAAAAATCACTATGCGATCACTATTGCATAAATCCGTTAAATAAAAGGAATAATAGAAATTTTATATAATGTATCTATCAAAGGAAATATAGAAGTAATGATTAAAATAAGTAAAGAAGTTTCTTTTTCTAATACTTTAAATGAACAGTTCGTCTTAGGTATTCAATCTGCGTTTGTCACGAACGTTGAGGATATAAAAAAACCGATGGTTGAGACTGATCCTGACCTCGGAACAAATGAAGAGATGCAGTACTAATTTGGAAACCACCGAGACCTGGATCTCTTGCGAAATATTTAGTTTAAGAATGTTCGTGCGTTAAGGAAAAAAAAGGAAAATAAGAAAGAACGAATACCAAATACCAACAACAACAAGAAGCAAAGCAGAAGAAAAGCGGACCACGAGAGAAAGATAATTGGTACGCAAAGGAACGCAAGGGAACAACAATCGGTTAACTGTAAACGCGGAAAGTTTTTCTTCTCGTGCCGAGCCGTTTGGGCCGCTCACTAGAATTTCAAGTGAAACCGCGATCTCGGAATATAATATCACATTTTCTAAAACGGTGGTCTAACGAACGCGCGCTTCTCGGATCGCCGTTTTGCAAGAATATTTACACGTTTATCCCAGGAATGGATGAGGATGATGAAGAAAAAGGACCCTACCCACTTCGCTCCAAATGGCGAAGCGGCAACGCCGATGGAAATTGTTTGCGCAACAAGAGTCCGAGAAAACCGTTCCGGATCTCCGGCAGAGAGCAAACAAACCGTCGAGGGAGTACCAAACATACGTGAACGAACAATGCGTCGGCTAAATAAACGCAAACGGCGCACAGAAGGATTTTCCGCAATAAATCAATAAACATCTGTGTTGTGTTTATGGATGGATCGTAAATCATTGCAAAGAAGAAACACCCTCGAACACTTGTGATCTGCTATTTTCGTATGCCTCTGGCCTTTTAGCCAATGCACCACTTCACAAGACTTTCGATAGTTGTCTTAAGAGGGTTCTGTTTATTTGCCTTACATTTTAACCAATTTTCCACATACAGATTTTTTCACAAATATGCATATCCCCATATGGGACAAACGTGATTTCAGCAGAAAACATTAAATAAATAAAATATTGATTTAATTATTATAAAGGCCTTTCTGGAAAAATTTCAATGATCCCATAATTCTGTATAATGTAAACAGTTATATTTACTTTAACAACGCCTCCAAACGTTTCCTTCTTTTAAAGTCATTTATCAAATTACTGCATCTTAATAAGAAGGAAACAATTCAGAAAGGCTTTAGCTTAAAATATAACCAAATATAAAAATGACAATGAACATTTCCAACTCGTAGACGGGAATATCCGACGTAAACATTACAGAAATCCCTTTTGTTACATCTCCTCCACTTATTTGTTCTCTTTTGATCCAAGACAAGTCACTTAATGTCCCAATTTCTCATCATACAATGTGTCCGTTTCGAAGCACCCGACGTCGCCGTAAATCACGCTCTATCTCTTTTGAGAAAACTGATGAATTTATATCTTTTTGACACTTGGTCTCGGATTATTACCGCGACGCATAAGTTATGGTCATCCACTGTTCGTCTCTTCTCTTCACGGCTACACTTTATACTCGTTTTGTTCAATTGCTGATGGATCTTTAACACTTCCTTCAATGTTTCACATCTTAAGTTTAATTTGTATTTTCCATTGTTACATAATCCATTTCATTATTCTTATATAGAAACTAACCATTCACCAGGAAATAAATCAATGTTATTGTTCAGTATAATTTTCTAATATAATTAACATTTTTTACAAATTATAGTGACTTAGATAGGAAATTTTTAAATAATATTTTACTGAAACTGTAAAAATAATTTGGTAGCATTTTTCATTTTATTCAGGCCAACAATTTGCTCTTTCATGGATTATTTAGAACACATATGAAACACTAAAAAATACTTTTATACTTTAACTTAGTGGTTCAAAGATATTAAATTATTTGATAAAGTAATAATATACATTTTTTTTTGTATAATTTCCGTCAGAAATAATTTTTGAACAAAAGATATTTCATGTCATGTTAAAATGTCGAAGTTTTGGATCTATTTAATTTAGATCATGTTGAAAACCTTTGTTTCGGTAGTGAAAGTCAATAATATATATTTCTATATATATACAGAGTGACAGTCTCAATACCATAAGTACATACAATTTCGTTTCCGTATTCGTTCATTCTCATTTTTGCTTGTCAATTAGTTTTATAAATAATCATTTCCTTTTACAATTTGATTTATTTTGCTTGTAATGTACAATCTTGATTTGTTGTTCAAGGATCTTTGCGTTATTAACAAAGTATAAATAAAAGCTTATAAACAAAGACAAACAAAAACAGATTTTGGCAATATTTGTAAGTTTATCACAAGATGTATGTTGTGAAGTGAAAAAAATCGTGACCACAATAGAAAGATTTTTATCAAAAAGCACGTCTTTATTTTGTAGCCTGAAGACTTCATGAAATGTACATCAATTTATTAGAAAAATCATCATAAATTTATTCTCAGTAATATTGATTCATTCGTACCTGTTTTGTAAATACGAAATTATTCCTATTAATTATTTGTAACGTAGAATTATCAGTATGATATCAATTTTAATCTCTTATATATATTGATGTTTCGTGCTTTATCTCCACACATTTGGCAAATATTAAATCCATTTTTTAATAGTACATTTCCTTTCCGGAGTCACGTACACAGCAATAACTCTCATAGTACGGGTAATCGTATCCGCACTGTTTAAAACCGGACTAATAGAGGACTTAAAAAAATAAACTTTTCATAAAGATATTTGATTGTATAAAGATCATTCAGTTAATATCTATGACAATTATGACTTGACTTATTTGTGTGAATTTGTTATTGTTAATATCTATAATTGTTTACTCAATTCTAATACCAAAACACAATATTTATTTTAAAAATATTACTTATAACATTAATTTTTTAAATCTTGATAATTTATCTTTTGATTAGTCTTTAAATTTGCATAAACATCAAATAATTTGTAAAATAACAAAGTATAATTAAACACACATTTGGCAAATATGAAATACCTTTTTTTAATGATATATTTCCTTTCCGGAGTTACGTATACAGCAATAATTCGCATAAGACGGGTAATCGTATCAGCACTCTTTAAAACCGGACTAATCGAGGAAATTTAAAAACAATAAAAAAAATAAACTTTTCATAAAGAGACTTGATTGTATAAAGATCATTCAGTTAATATCTATGTCATTTATGACTTGACTTATTTGTGTGAATTTGTTATTGTTAATATTTATAATTGTTTACTCAATTCTAATACCAAAACACAATATTTATTTCAAACATATTATAACATTAATTTGTTAAATCTTGACAATTTATCTTTTGTTTAGTCTTTAAATTTGCATAAACATCAAATAATTTCTAAAATAACAAAGTACAATTAAACAGGAAGTCTTTAATCTTAATAACCTAACCTTATATTCTTTTGCCAAATCTTAATATTTTGGATACGCAGTTTTTGCATATTTACATACGCGATAAGTGCTGCTGCGTATTTAGTACACTTGTTGAAATTTTCGATAAGAAATTGTTTATTTATGTAATGTATTTATAAAAGTCAACGTTCACTTTGCAAATCAAAAAGAAATCAAATCGCAAATTTCTATATTATGAAAAGACACTTAAATTGATGGCTAATCTTTATTTTCAATGAAACTAGAAGTTTTAATTTATAAAGAATATAAACATACGCATAATCAGTTCATTTTTTAAGTTATTGAGTTTTAATTATGTATATAATTACATAATATAAATTTCCTAAACGTAAGATTGAAACACAATCTTAGTATTATTTAACTCACTGGTAAATCAATGATAAAATACTCTGCGTTTTGTACAATATATAATTAATATATTAATAATTTTTTTCACATAATTATAATGTTATGATAAATTTATTATAATGTAAATATATGAATGTTAAATTGTATTTGATGGATTACCTTTAAATAAATAATTTACTAAAAACTTGTTGCAAATCAGGTAAAAGCAGTATTAAATATTGATTGTTTCATAAATATTAATTGATTACGGTGCATCAGTATGGTGGAATCATAAGTACCAAACACTTCATTCGATTATACATTTTTTTACTGTTGAATTATTCAACACGTTGAACACGAGTGTGTGGAGAGAAGGCTATATATTGCGTAACTTTTTTTTTTTCAAATTTTATAATATACCAAATGAGTTACGAATTACTTATTTTTAGATTTAATTGAATGCGATTTATACAGGTTGCAAATGGTAAATGGCACCGAAACCCCACCGAATTGCTAATAGGTAATTTGTGAATGTAATTGGAAAACTTTTAATCACGTTAAAATGAAATGTAATTTATGGAAACCAGTTTGGCCAGTAATCGGCACGCTCCACGCCTCACGTAATCCAATCATTCATAATTCAGTCGAAGCATTCATCAGATGCAGACTTAAAAAAGTGACATTATTAAGTTTATGAATCAGTGGTAATTTGGGACAAGGATAGGGTGCAGACGAATTAATATCTCTTTGGATAATTTCATAAAATATTTGTTGAAAGTTTACAGCATAATTCAGTAGACGTTATGCAAGAAATGATCTTGCCCAAGAAGTTCGCTAATCTGAATTTAATGCGCAAAGAGCAATTAAGAGAACTAATGGAAAGTTTGTGGAAACTCACGTTTGTGCTGAGTTGAGACGATAGAGTTTGGTTCTTCTCCTGTGCGTCCATCAGCTCTCTCTTCAACTTCCTGATTTCGTGCGCCTGCTTTTCCTCTGCTGATGAGTATAAGCTTGATGCTGTTGACACTAAACTGATGGAGGAGCCGTGCACTGGAATAATGCAAACAATGAGTTTCTTGCTGATCATGAACTGAACATTTGCTTACCATCGTCGTTCTTGGGGATGCTGTGCCTTGCATTAGAGTGTGTAGGGGATAGTGGAAAGGTGCGAGCCGATCCTGGAGCTGGGCTGGTGGGCTGAGACCAAGGATTGTAGGCTCCTATCGGCAGGCAATAGTACGGTTCTGTTTCCGGTTCCGCGTTCCTGTGCAACATTGAAGGGTACAGTTTTTCCGATTTGGTAGACCTGCAAACATCATCCCTAATAAGAACAGTCGGGCCGGGAGGAAACGCAAAAGTCGAGGACAAACTAAAAGTAAATATGTCAAATATTCAAAATACATCGAAAGCGGACGATCACACTGTGTGTAGGTTGTGAGTAGAAGCTTTGTGAAGATAGAAAATTTGGAGGAAAAAACAACACAAAGTAAAAACAGAAAATATTGTTTTCGTGTGATAATGAAAATAAAAAAAGCAGATGCGAAATGTTTCAAATTTCGCGTTGTTGATTTTTTTTTTTGGGTTCGTTTAGTTCCAAGTACCTTGGGAATGTCCGTTCTCTTAGATAGCTAACATAGGACGAACAAAGAGAAAACAGATTAAAGGAGTTTTCAATAGAAACTGTATGGAAGAGGTTCGGATCTTTGCAATTACCTGATGCTGTTGCTTCTGCTCAGCCGTGAAGGGGAATCCCGGAGAAGACGGGCGTGCGTTAAGCTTCCTCTGTGTCCTGGAAGACTTGTTAAGCTTTCCATGCTGTCCGTTTCCGAAAGCCTCGGAGCAACCGAATAAGTATTACTATAATAACAAAATAAAATAATTGAATAAGTTTACATGTTATAAAATTAATTATATGCTTGTACATTTATTAATATCAACTATTTAATTGATCTTAGTTTTCATTTGGATTTCATTTAAATTAAAAAGATAAAATAATTAAAAACAAAATCTGCATGATTTCTGCATATTTTGTTTTAAATGCCATAAAAATATATACGGTTAGAGCAATAAACTTAACGACAAGAAATAATGAGAGTTAACGATTGTTCAATATTATTATCAATGATAATTAAACACTATTAATATTCGAAAAAAATAAATAAATTAAATAAAAATCCTCGTATTTACATTTATGCTTTACTGAAGTAAGAAAATTAATTTAATTAATGGATTTTCAACTATATAAGTAGTACACATCAAAGGATAATTATTTTAAGAAATAATTTCAAGGACATATTGTGTGTTACACTTATATTTATAAATATTCATGAACATAAATATACATTAATGGTATAGTACTTATCATGAATTTTCCACATTAAGAAAACCTTTTTTTCATAGTTTCAAATCCAAATTTGTATACACATTATTGACTTTAAATTAATGCAAACATTTGATTATAGTACATTATTATGTAGTTTGTACATTTTTATAAATGTTAAAAAAAATCTTGTTTAAATAGTTTGAGAAATTATTTTTTTTTACAAATTAATTATATTGGTGTAGTATGCATAAAATACCCAAGACACATTCTTTTGAAATGTTTTCTGAATTAATGAAAAGGAACAGGACTCATTACTCGATGCAATTTATAACATTTGCAAAGTACTGATGTTATAAAGGAACTCTTTGAATGCTGCAATGAAAAATCGATTTCCCTTTAATGAATTACATGTATTTTGGTACGGGATAAAGAGAACTCATTAATCATTTCATTGTGTAGACGCCACGGAAAAAAGGGAAGATTTTCATTTCTTCTCATAACAAATGGGTTCTTATCCAAAGAAAAAAATGTCATTAATGATAAGAACATTTTCAGATAATTATGAAATATTACTTTGTGTCAATTGATTGATCTTATTAAATATAAACGGCTTTTTATATTATTTAATAATTGATATATAACAATAATAAATTAGTAATATTGTTATGAAATAAATAAAATCTAAACGTTCCTAATGTTATCAATTGAAAAATATTGCAAATAAATAATTAAGTGATGAAAATCAGAATAAATGAATTAACTAGTCGGTGTATAAATTGGGTATTTTATATACTCATTTAGATAGTAATATGTGGCATTATCGATGATATGTATAATAAAAAGTTATTTGTAAGTATGTTTACTGCGAACGAGTTGTGAAAATAAGTATGTTATCCAAGGCTACATTTGAATAAGTGTTATGGTCAAACTGTATATATCTGATCGAGTTACCTGTGTCTGAGCCAAGGTGCGTATGGGCTGGAGGCGTCGATGGCTTGGGTGTCGGATAAGGAACCATCGCTGGCTTTGGGTCTACCTTGTCGCAGGATATGACTGTACTCTTGGGCCGCACCTTTGGGCAAACTTTGCGAACCCATCAGCCGCTCCCGAACTGACTGGCTCAGTTGGTTGGCCGCATTTCCGGTCAAAGAGTAACTCTTAAACTGCGGTGTCTCTGCGCGAAGACAAACGAAGAAATGATTAGTTTACGAGGTGTATATAGATTTAGGGTTGAGGGGTGACTCACTGTGTGGTTGCAGGTCGCTCGAACAGGTCTGGGTACCACCGGAAACCTTTACTTTGGTGCGCGGCACCGCCGACACCTGGGCGGTTTTTCCGGATTGGGAGTTCGGTAAAGCTGAAAGAAGAGATGAAAAATGAGTATGCAATTTATTGGGAAGTTGTATTTTTTGATTTTACGGGTGGAGGGTGAACTGCTGCCATTCGTGTGCGTTCCATTCGTGCCGTTTGTGCTGTTGCCCCTCTTCACGTAGCCAAAACTCTGCGGGACGCCGCGCACCTTCGAGGATTTGTCCTTTCCGTGAGGGCTGCTGCGGCGCTCCCGCCTCGAGCTGGTGGGACTCGACGGTGCCGGAGGCGGCGGTGGTGGAGGGCTTCCAACGCCCGGCGAATCCGTGTACCTCTTCCATTGCTGACCGCTGTTGCCGTGCTGCTTGGGATCAGGGAATTGGGCGGACCCGTTCCTCGTTGTCCGTCCTCGGGGGCCAGTCGGGGGCGGCGGCGGATCTTCCACGCGCCCCCGCCTTCCGCTCTGTTCCGTCAACACCGTGAGGCTTGGCGAGATCCGTGGCGCTCTGCAACAACACAACACATTTTACTCTATTTATAATCCCTTTCCTTCTGCGAAAGTCTTTGAGAAGCAACCATCTACTTAATTTAATGATCGAGTCTCTCCATTTGCCGGCTTTTAATGCTAAAATCTTGTAATTGACATACTCTAATGGATAATAGCAGTTTTAATATCATCTATATCGATTTCTAAATCTCTTCACTTTAACTCAATGTTGCGAACTTTCGACTGAATTCTTGACATCCATAGAAACTTTAGGAAATCTATCATAAATCTATACTTAACTATGTCAAAAATGAAAATACCGAATACAGAGAATTTCCGCTTCATCCATTAACTCTTATCCGCAATGTGATACAAATTTAAAACATTTCTTTAAACATTCTGCACTATATATTCTTAAACCATATTAAACTACACACCAGAAATATTTTACTATATCAATAATGACTTTCTTCTAAGAAAGTCAAGAAATATTCATCCACTTATTTTAATGACTTACTCTACGTAATTGCATTAACCTAATCACCAGTTAATGCTAATTTCTATCATGCTAAACTGAATATATCCCATCTATAACAATTTTTACGTATTTACGATTTCTTTAGACGTTTAATGTATATCATACACATGTTGCGTTTTCTTGATGAAAAGAGCAAATAATTACAAATGTATCTCAAAATCAAATAGAAATATAAATTTAAATGAATATATATGTAAACTATAATTGTTAAAAATAATAAATTATGTTATTGCATTATATTATAATTCTATAATTTCTTTAACAAGTATGTCCAATATTATGCGAAAACATTTTTGATTCAACTGAAATATAAAGAGAATATTATAGAAAAAGGTCAACATTTTTATATAATATTCTCAAATAATAATAATATATGTATAATTCACAAATATTATTTAATTATAGAGATGAAACAAACTTTTTTTTTACTTTCGAAATGTTTCAAAGTAATTGTATTCAATTATATTTGATATACTTGATTATAGCCACAAAAGCCCAAATTAGTATTACAGAAAAACGCGAAATTACTCTTTGACATTTTTAGTTCAATTTAATTCTGCAAGCAATTTACTCAATCCAATCTAAATATACCTTATATAAGTATATAATACAAGATGTATTTGGCTCGAATTCGCATGCTTTTAATCTCGAATGGCTTTTAGAGAAACTCACGAAAGGTTCAGGAATTTAATTAAATTTCGTAATCGATTTTACACAATGTAACTCAAATGTTAGCAAGTTATTTTCGAACCGAAAGCTAAATTTGTAAATAATCTCAATAGAAATTATAAAAGAAAAACATCTACAATATAAATAAATTATAGTAATTGTAAGATTAAAATTGAATAAAGTGATTATTGAATTAAAATCTATTAGTAATAATATTAACAATATCTATTGGATTGATTTGAATAAAAAAAGATTAACATAAAACATCAACCATGACGAATAATGAATATTGAAAAATAAATTATAAATTTAAGACAAAGAAATTGGATAATTTGTATGATAATATAAAATGATAAAGAAACACACCCGACAATTTTGAGATAACAAAAAAATTAATCAAATGGTAGAAAATTTGCGTTTTATAATCCGGAAAAATTTAAGATAAATATTTTGTAAATACAAAAGATCTGAATTTTTAAGTTCAAAGACTTTATATATATACTTTATATTTTAAACAGTTAAGATGAGAAGATTTACTAAACTAATAAGTCTTAATACAATCTTACAAAATCTTAATAAAGCTATCAAAAAGTAAATATAGTTGAACTGTATTTTTGACCAATATATTCATTAATATTTTATACATTTAGTGGTATTGGATTCTAAATGTATTAAAAGGTTTCCATCTAAATTGGAGTATCCACATTGTATTCCTTCAGATTCATGAATATGTAAACATTTGTTACTTTAGCAAATCGTTCCATTCTTAGTCATAATATGGGTACTATTTGTCCCAGCTACGCTTCACGTTGCTTAACTTTTGTAAGATAAGAAGCATCAAGTATCCAACACTAACCGGCGTTTTTCTATTATATAAAATTTCGAATGACATAATCAAATAATTAATAAATACATCTGTGTAGTGTATCTAGAATACGGACATTTGTGACAGGTGTCGTAACGTTTATTAAACTTCCTTAAACGCGATAGAAAACACACAATGTGCGTCACGGATGATGTCGTTCAAGTTAAATGGACAATTTAAACTGGTCGACCGTTGGGTATTTAAAACCGGAGCAGAGTATAATTCCACAAAATGATTTTCTTACATAAGATGGGTTACGCCCAGAAGCACTTTACGACGAGTAATTAACCAAGGAAGAGATGTTTCCTTTGTTGATCCAGGGGGGTTAAACAGCGAAATGCCCGGAGCGATCGATCAGCCGCCAAAAAGAAAGAGCAAACCGTCGTTAATCAGCGCGATTGGACTTGGTCATGGAGCGTCGTCTCCTTACAATACAAACACATGGTTGGAAAAGTTCATTACCGACGCGTAACGAGTTTTAAATGTCACATTTAAAAAAAAAAGTAGCTCAAACGAAAAGGAGCTTTAGAACGTCTACGCAAATGATCACGAGATAATGGCATATTTTGTTACTATGTATATACATCATGGGTTAATTAGCATTGGTAGGTCAATTAGCTGAGCAGGAAGTGAGCCCTGTGGCATTACCAAAGTGTCTGGGCGTTGCGCCCTTCGCGACGGCGGTGACGGTGCGTTCGAAGGTCCTTGAAGCTACTACTACCATCACCGACGGTGGTATGGGTCTGGTTCTTCGAAATGGAACTAACACTGCGCGGTTGTTACTCGACGGACACGCTTTTGTTTTGGTTTCGATGTTGAAATGGCCGGCGGCTGGAGGAGGCGGCGTCGCGGCGCGTTCTTAGCACCACTGACCATGTCTGTCTGCCGTCTGCACAACCTCTGACTACAACAGGCAACGGCAAAATCGATGAGGGGGCGCATGTACACCAAGTGCGCACATACATACACACACACGCACGCACGAATAAGGTCGGATGCATACGTAGATGTGTGCATGTACGCACACAGTCATCCCCGATTATTTACACCACGGTCACTACAAAACGTGTATCACCCTCGAGGGCCGCCATCCGCGTATACAAAAACATAAAATGGAATAAAGGCGAATTCAACCTTAGACCTTTCGGATCGGCCCCCTACGGCTAATTCACACCCCCCATACGCACCAAAAGTCATTGATCCAATAGCAAACAAATAAACTGAAACCTTTTGTTGCACAACACCAACAACAACAATCCAACATTTTCCATGGTATTTCATAGAATTTTCAATGAACAAGTAGAAACATTTAAGTATTCACACCAGAAATCCCAAATACCATAAATCTAACAAATTAGAAAGTCGTACAAATACTTAGAGACAAAGACAATTTAGAAATGATCCCCATTTCATTTAATGTTTAGAGAACAGTTTATTATATTAATGAAAAATTACCAAATTTTCAAACTATGAAAACCATAAAAAATCTAAATTATTCAAATATTATTAATACAATAGCTCTTTGCAGCAGTTTAATTTTATTATTGTTATTGTATTATTGTACTGAGTTAATATTTTGATAATTTATTGTTGAAATAAATATTATTATTATCAATAAAATGTGAATATATTAAAATAAATTGGTAAATTAGATATTTCAATACAAAAATCTTATAATCGTATATTAAATTGTGTAAAATGTGATAATTAAGTGGACTAAGTAATGTTAGTTTTTTTTTTAACCTAAATTGATCTAATAAGCTTTTACTTAATTGAAAAAATGAAATGGTGTTGGTACTAAAAGCTTTCATTTAAATGTATTGCCTAGCGACAGAAATGCTAATGAATTAGATGCATCTAATTATCAAGATAATTAGACAATATAAAATTTAACCATTAATTAAGTAACATAAATTTATTGGCAGCACGAGCATGTGTTAATAATCATTAATGAATAGGGGAGAACATTTTAATAACCTTAAAAGAAAGGGGACACAGTTATATAAATTCGTTGATATTTCATAAACTATGTCATCTAATTTTAATATACAAAGTTAAATTTTATATCTACTGTGCATTTGTATTAAAAATTATTTGAAAGCGTCATGTCTACAACAAATTTATAAGTAATTAAAGGATTAATGTTTAATTTTGTTTTATATTGTATACATCTTCAACAGACATATTACAAGATGTATAGAAATCAGTCAAGATATAAATTACTTAAGGTTATTTAGAAACGCAGTTTGTAAGTAATAAAAAAATAAACAAACATTTCCAATTCTCTAGTTTTAACAAAAGTTAAAGCAGCGTTTCAGAATATTTTTTGCCGCACGACCTAACATATTTGTTTGTATTCCATCAGTTCCTCGCTTTGACACAAGGTGACAGCTGTCATTTCGCGACCCATTTAAAATTTAACGCAACTCATAGATGGAGAAACACTAAGTTAAACAATCTCTATTACGATTTTTACAAGTTTCATAATCATATTACAATGGAATAAAAGTCTTAACCTTTAACTACTCGCGACATGAAATTTGTATGTACTACTCGCGCGGTGTATTTTATACACCACATGTATTACTGTCAGACGGAGTGCATACATTATTGTCTTACGACAAGAAAAAAACTTTTTCATGTTAATTAATGCTTTTTTATTAGGTTCATAACTATTTGTAGTACATTAATATAATAATTTCTGAATAATTATCGTCATTGCCCTCTGTGTAATCAACAGTAGTGGTATCAGAATTGTTTTCTATTACACCAAAACTGCAGATCAAGAACGAACCTACACAAAAACTGTTTTCTGTGCAGCAATCAACACAATATTGCACCAGCGTTTAGTAAGTAATTTGGGGATAAGTTACGTTAAGTGTCATAGATGGGGGAAAGAGAATATAGATGTGATATAATTTCTTAGAATATTGGTATACGTTTTACA